CTTGAGCAATTTTCTCGATTGGAACTGCATCGGCTTCACATTCCTGGAAACGTTTAGTTTTCATTTCCCTAGTTAAGTACTAACAAAGCACCACCCAACTTCCATTACAGTAACAGCGTAGAGCGCAGTTATCCTTGCAAGTCCGTATCTAATATACCTACGTACGAGTATAACGCTCCGTCGCGATTCCTCGAAATACTTTAATTACGGAAAAGATGAGCAATTTTAAGTCGGATGTAAAGTATTATAGTTCACTCCACCTGTCCTTGTACGACAAATCATGAAATAATATGATAATTCGCGAAAATGTCCATGACATTCTTCCACGAATTGTAAACATATATTATTCTTCGATAGTGCTATTAACTCAATAATAGGGAGATAAGGTTTCATAATTTTTGGCGACCCTTTGGCGAGGTGAAAGGCCAAAGGACCATTGGTCTTTCCCTTTGTTATGTTTTTCGTTAAAAACAACAATTTGGTATAGTGATTGATCAATCTCTCTCAGCCGCAAAAGAGGATAAGGAAGAGGAAGGATGCCAAAAGGCATTAAGCAGAGACTAAACTGCCGTTTCGAGGTTGCGCCGAATATACGGAGCATACGGAAAGCGTGTCTAAGATGACGAAATTAGAAGCGAAAAGTAGCGGGCTGGAGAGCATAATTTTATAGAAAGAAATATGCTTTCTACGAATCCATTTAGTACCATTTAACTGTCTGCCTGCCCATGTCGATTCAATTGTTTGGTTATTACCAAACGCGTTACTAACTTATTTCCTAAATAAGTCCATGAATCTGAGATGATGCGAGGTGAGCAATTTTTTTAATATTTATTTTCTAGCAAAGATTTAGTTACAAATAGTATTGCGCAACATTTAAATCGCTTTCAGAGACGAATAATGTGGTACAATATTACTTTGAGTTAGCGACTCGAACACGGTGTGTTTCCACTAAGAGTACTCGAAATAATGAGACAATTCTGAGTTGTAAATGATCGGGCTAAAAATGTTGACAAATACTTTATTATAATGTATAAATCGATTTTTTTTCCGTATAATTGAACGTTGATATGAATAAAGATCGAGGTGGAAAAGTAAAAAATCAAGGTCAACGACTTTCCACGATGGCGGTTTCGTCCTCGATGACCTACTGAGCTTGAAACGTAACCTTTGAAGCGATGCGACGATTCTTCCCCTTCGGCCGAGAGAGAACGAGTCAGGCTAGAATCATCTGGTGACGCAACATTGCCAACTAGCGCTGCGCACACTCTGCTAGAGAAAGTCATTACTTTGAGCACGTTCCACCTGATAATGGAGTTTGTGGCCTTCAAAGTAAATTGTTTTCTGCGCAGTGAATTCCTTGACGACGACAACCGCCGGCATAACCGCGATCGTTGAATAGCTGAGAGAGAAGATTCGCGCGGTTTCTTTCTAAATTTCGCGCCCTGCTTCTTGTTGTGCGCGGACATTGTACTAAACCTATGCGCTTTTGAACCTTCTTAATCCTCTAACGGCAAGGTGGTTTTTCAATGTAACCAAGAAAGTGGGATTGGATCCATGCTTTGTTCATTTTTCACGTAATCAATGTACGAAATGGGTAAAAGAAGTAAATAATAACACGGAATATTCTTTAAGAAGAAAAATAGCATGCTGTAAAATAAACGAAACCGTAGGGTCAATTTGATCTCACCTTATCGTTGGAGGATTAAAATATGAATAGCAGTTTGAAAGAACTTAAAGGGTTGTTGAAGTGGTTATTGCGATGAGAAAGCGTTCCCATCTAAATGGAACTAATAATGAGATGTCCGCAACCAAGATCGATACGTCGGAAGAACGAAAAAGCTAATTATTACCCTGATTTATTTGGAATTTATTATAGAAAATGTATTTACGTAAGTATATACATAGTATATTAGAACCTTTCGCTATAGAGAGTTGTAAGTTTTGACCAGAGTAGAAAATAGTCGACAGCTTTTGCTTAAGACGACACTGTGTGTACGCGCTGGACCGTTTATTTACGTCGACCATTTTGAGGCGACGACATGCGGCCATGTTGTTTTTACGATCATTCCACAAGCATGCCCTTACCGTGGTCTTTTGCGGCGAACAAACCCCCTCTGTACTTGTGTTCCAACTCGGCGAGATGAATCTTCATCACCGACTCTGAGTATTTCTGTTACATTGCTGAAGATACGTTTAGCCCTTAAAAGCTAAAACTTCCCTAATCGTAAATTTTATTTTTCCGTTATTAAGTAAATCATTAGTAAATAATATAATATATATGTTATCTTGAAATATTTACAAATTCCATGATTATTATAATTGAAGAAACGCAACATTAGTTTCCTTTCTTGCAGATATCAGCTGGTTTGTTTGCAAGAAATATCTTTTTGAAATATGTCTACGATAGTGATTCTCGTGCGTCGAGGTTTGTTGGAGTTAAACGCTTCGCGACCACAAAGATTCGCAGCCGAAGTATCCTGACCGAAATGGCGCGTGGTAACGACCTCTTCCACAATGTCGAAGTCGCTTTAACCATCCGACACATTGCGCCGACTAAACTGTTGTTAAACACGCTAGCGACATTAACGATGGCAGCCAAGCTACCGTACGACAACCATATTTTCTAGACACGAAAGCCCGATCGAGCGCGAGCTAATTTTATACGGACAAATGTACATGACAATTTTTAAGAGTTGGAGCAGAAAATTGTAGAAAAAAATCTTTAAATTTGTCTCCAATTAAATTAAAAGTGATTAGGCTGCTTTAATTTATTCAACCCTTCAAATTACTTCTGAATATGATGAGCTGTCTGTTTCGCCACAATGTGTGAGCTAATTGTGCTCACATCTACGTTTGAATATCAGATTGGGAAATAAGCGACGTCTTGAGCGCAGTTAATTAACAGAAATCAAGAACGTTATCGTGGAACGCTGAGTTATGGCTGGTAACCCAAACCCTAATTGGTCTTACGAAGAGAGAGAGAGAGAGAGAGAAAGGCGATCACCTTTTCTCTTTCTGGGTATCAGAAGCTCTGGTCACAGTTTGATCGTCAAAGATTGTCACAACATCAATTAATTTGCCTTGCTATCGACACACATTCGACATATTAACATTAATTTACGATAATTTTATGCGTTTATTGTACTTTGTGATGAAATTTCGATCATGAATATTGCAGGTCCTTGTGAGCATTCCGCGAAGGTAATTACGAGAGAGAGAGAGAGAGAGAGAGAAAGAAAGCACGCGGTCTAGTATGCCGCGACAATATAACGAAGTATAATAGCTACGTTACGCGTCCTAATAAGTACAACGCGATGATGCAAGAACGCGTCTCTCTCAGGTGCGAAAACGCAATAAGAATGTAAGAGAAATTTGGTCGAAGACCACAAACGTCCTTTCACGATGCTCGCGATTACTGTCCCATAGTGACGCGTCTTTGCCAAGCAATTGTGAGGAATCAAATCGGGATTATTAGCGCAGGCTAATATTATTTAAGCATTGTCGTGTATACCGCTGCAATCACTTGTTAATTACGAGTATTTTCGGCACAAGATATTCACTCGATACACATTTTGACGTTTATGGATAAGGAATTGCAAATGAACGCGTAATACGATTATTATTTGGATCGCTCGCTATTACCGCGGATCTATTTCTGGACGCGAGGTGAAGCGATAAAGGACGGGCGTTTGGGATGGGAAAAAGGGGGTGCGTAATGGGATAATATCCGCTCCGCGATGGCCCTTTTACCCTTTAACGATGATTCCTCGGTTTCCAGCAAATTGCGCGGGAGAGAGCTCCGACTGATGGTCGACGAGACGAAGAGTTACTCGACCCAATCTCACTTTGAGCCGAAATACTCTACGTATCGCGTTCGTAGTGAATCAAGAAAATTTCCTTGTATTCCTGATTTTCTTCTGTACGAAGAGACGATCAACCAACGGGCCTATCTTCTTCACATACATCTTGTTGCGACGAATAACAGTGAAAATACGTATAGATTTGGCATTCGCGTGTCTCTTCTGCCCTTTTTATGCATTTTTCCACATAAAAGCTTTGTCTCTATGGAAGCCAACGTACGTTCGTATAAACATCGCTCAAATGCACGCGATCCTTCAATCATGCAAGGAGTAATAAGAGGGTCTCTCAAACGTATTACTCGCGTTATTTAACAGTAAATCAAAGGTTGGAAATGCGGATCATTATTGTAATATCTTTCCATCGCAAAATTGTTCGAACAAAGATTCGCGTTAGATTACGCTAATAAGACTATTACGCTTTTGAAATTGATTTGCAAACGATACGACTTTGCGTTTCATGAGAGAAGAGATTATCCGGTCGAATAAATGAAAGATACGCAACAATCGCGGATGAAATCCCATGTACGGTTACAAGCGCGATTTGTTGTCGCTAGACCGCAAAGGGTTAATCCATTAGCGGAACCGTCACACACGAGAGGGCGGCGGTTTGCCTTTGCGATATTTACTCGCTACACAGGTTGCGTATCTAGCGGCCGGCTCTCTTATTGCTCTCGCTTGAACTTGATAATATCAATGTACTTTCTCGTTACGTATGCAAATCAATGTGTTACTTGCGCGCTATTATGACTCTAATAGCCGCCTATCGAGCCGTCGTTTAGAAGGCGGGACAACGAAGGATGTCGAGCGAGAATATAAATGACATACAAATTACGAGATATTGCGCGATTATAGCATTAACGATACATGAAAGATCGATCAAATTGAATATCCTTTAGAGATTTCGGTATTGAACAATCGACACGCGCGAAATAAGGTGAAACAAAAGTTCGTTCCATGTAAAGCTTCCAGTAATGTACAAAGCACAGTTTATCGTGTCTCACGGTTTTCTTCAAGAGTGCTTATTGAATTGAAACACTCTTACCTTAGGAATGCGTACTTTAAGCGATACCGTGGTATGCGGCGAACGGAAAGTGTCAGATACGTCGTTCATCAGTGTTCCTTTTTCTTTTTGTGACGCAGTGGCTGGAGCATTTCCGAGGAGAATCGGTCATCCTTATCAGAACCGGACGCCACCGAAGAGGAAGAAACCGAGAACAAGCTTCACGAGGCTGCAAATCGCGGAGTTGGAAAAGCGCTTCCACAAACAGAAATACCTGGCCTCCGCCGAACGAGCGGCGTTGGCGAAGTCGCTGAAGATGACGGACGCTCAGGTGAAGACTTGGTTTCAAAATAGGCGGACGAAATGGAGGTGAGAATCCATCCTTGTATGTATATTATACATCGCGGCGTCAATAAACAGTGGTAGCATTTATAAGAGACGACGACGGGAATCGTTGTTTCCTCTCGAGAGCAACTAATTTCTCGAAGGAAGGGAAGGCAACGGAATGTTAATAGCGGGTTAGTCGCAGGCTGACGCGTATATCCGTAAACGCATTGGCAGTCAAATGTATTGGAGTCTCTTCAAGATAAGAAAGGACGAAAACACGTCATTTAGATAAAAGGGGGGCTCGTTCTCCGCGGTATCGGGGGCGTCTCGACGGCGGCGAGACGGACTCTGGCGACGACATTCTCGAAGGAGCGTCCTCACCATTCCTCTTCTCCGTTCCACTTTACGTTCCTCGGCGTTTTTAAAATCGTCGTCACGTTATGTGGAGAAGTCCTTGGATTCGTTCTACGAAGCGTCATGATAAAGAGATAAACTCGCTTGGGATGATGGTTCAGGAACGAGCAGCCCCTCCGCTTTTCGGAGGTTAATTTTTGCACACACAGTAAGCCTATTTCTCGTACGGCGGACTATTCAATTCTCGATTATATCCGTGTGATTTTGGAAAAATGTATTAAAATTGTCCACCTTCTCGTCGTCGCGAAAAAGAGCAGAGAGAAAATTCAATTTGGAATCCGACGACACGCGTTATCTATCTCGCAATATGCTTGGAAATGTTATCGCTGTGACAGATACATTTGTCTCTAGAACGTTACGACGAGTTAACTTCACGCCGGAGTGACAAGTACATCATTTTTAATTAAAGATACACGCACGACAGGGTAATCATGTGCGCGATCAATAACGCGTCACCGCGCGCACGACAAACTTTTTCTTTCCCGACGTTGTAGTGACGTACTATGAGAAATAGGAGTCGGAAATATATATCACCCTCGTCTTCCATCGATCAATTTTATTCAGACGTTGTGCGTCCTCTCCGCGTTATTTCGAGAGCGAAGAGGATTTTTCGAGAAAATTTCCAGCTAAATAATTCAAGTTCAAATCTTAGATTTGGAAAATACGAATTTCGAATTATATTCAGTACCGTTCGTCAGCTTCGATTCAAGTCTGAACGGATAAGATATCGTCGTGTAATCGTCATAACGTACGCGGTCCAGCAGCTGCGTTTAAAATAACGAGATGACTGGTAGGCAGAGATGAGATAACTCGGACTCAATAATTCAGGTACCTAACAGCTTAGCTCTGTCCCCGTACATAATGTAGCCTCTCGGCCCCCGGCCGTCGCGCTCGTCCCCGCCTCTCATCCACCCTCTGCTTTGACTGCCAATCCTCCGCGTCACCTCTTTCGGTCTCTAAACCTCCTCCTTCGCAAGAGAGAGCTTCTTGGCTTTTAAACTGTCAAACGTTCGAATCCGTTCCGATCTCTGCCAACCCCACCGATTCGCCTCGTTAAACATTCATCCGTTACAGTGTGTAGGACCAAGCGGGTAACCGCTTCGAACACGATTCGGCAGGCAAACGATGTATCGCGCGAGGGCGCGTAATATAGCGGCGGGTACTATAAAAAATCAATCGGTATCACGCGGTACCACCAGAGTGGCTTCGTCGAGTTCTGACGGTGAATTTTCCGCGCGTGAAAAATTATACAAGTAGAAATAAAGAAGAGGTGCAATTTAGCGAATGGTATATAAAGCATCTCATAATAGTTGCATAAAACGTGTGTAACGTACTTGGATCAAGATGAAACAACGTTTCTCCGTTGCAAAAATTTAGATGACGCACCGAATTATACCATTCTTTTAGCGAAAGACGCTCGGTACATGCTGACCCATCTCTTTTTGGTCGAAATGTTAAAGAAAACGTTGTCTAAATTTCCGCGAGAGAAAAGAATTGTACTATTATTTGAAACGATCGTACTGAGATGTCGCTCGTGTAGAATAGTACTCGCGAAGGCAAGTAAATATTGATAAATGAAATTAATCGAACAGAATGGGACTGGGCGAACTCTATACCGACATGTAAAGTGTGCGCCAAAGTATAAAGATAAGAGTAATGTGTCCCAGGTTGCGAGAGAATATGGTTATATGCCGGCCGCAGCGAATGGGGCGAGGCTGGCTGCGTCGGGGCTGCAAAATGTAATCGGCACGGTGTCGTCAATTATTAATCGCTAACCGCGTTAATTACTTGCAGCGGCGTAGGTGCACCTGTCACTGGCGCAATGGCGTAGCCGCAGTGGATTTCACGGCGGTGGGGGAACGTGAGTGAAATTCAATTGCGCGGTGCTAATAAAAGCGTCGTCAACGCGCGCTAAATCTTGCCCGTTTCTACTCTTTCGAATTGGTGCGTGTAATTTAATTTGGAACTTATTCTCGAAATGTTGCCCGTGATTTACATATCACTCACGATAATTAACCCGGCCGAACTGATTGGATGAAAATTTCACTATCGAATCAACCTTCTCCTCAGAAAGGAGAGGAAAAGAGAGGAGGAGGGGAGAAACTAATGTATCTTTATATTCTAGCTTTGACACAAAAGTTACGTTATAAATGGATAGATTATGTCCAGATAAACGTGTGAGAGTTAACGAGATCGATTTTCAGCGATAAACAGCGAGAATTACGGCGAAGTAGGTCGAAGCTGTTCGCTCAAAGACGACTTTTGGGAATCGGAAAGTAAATTTCGGAATAATCGTCGTTGTCGGTACCAATGGGTACAATCGTTCTCTCGTTATATCCAGGTATTGAGTGAAGAAAATTACAGGAAGTTCGAGTCAAGTCGTCGTTGCTCAACTCGTGACCAAAAAGGTAGGCAAAAAGAGGGTCAACGCGGGATGGTACCTGCGATAGGCCGGAACGCGGCATAATTCGTGAGGAGACACGAGACGAGCGCCACCGGTCTTTAGAGAGACGTTCACGGGAGATACACAGAGAAAAACCAGTTTTAGGAAATTATAACAATCACCACCGTTATCGGGAAAGGTCGGAATCAACTGCGCCCAATTTCTCTAGCTCTTCCTGTCACGAGGATTTGTCGGCGGAGCAGAAAAATAATCTCGATAAATTTCGACATTATTATATATTTATCCTTGTTCTTTGAAAAATAATTTCGAAGAAAACTATCTTTCTCGACGGTAATAGATTTAAATTTATCCAAGTTATTCAACTTTTAAACCTTAATTAGCAGACTAATCTACGTCCAGAGATTAAAAGGAATGTTTTAACGGGTGACGATATATAAACCAAGCTTTACCGCGTGTTTGCTGCATGGTCGTGCGCGCAAGCTCTATCGACCTAACCAACCAACGAGTCGGCCATTTTGCGGCGCCCTAATAGACTTAACGCTAGAAAACAGACGTCGCCCGGTGGCTCCAGTTTAGTGACGAATTGAATTAACTTTATTACATACGTTTTCTTTCCCCTCTTTGTGTTCCGCCCAACGACTGTCATTCCATTTTTGTCATCCTTTACTGCCTCTTGATCCCGTTTGTAGTGCAAGCAACCGAACGATTCGAAGCGTCGAAACATTTCAAGTTACTTCTTCACACGTAACGGAACAACGGGCGCTCTGTTCCAGGCGGCAGACAGCAGAGGAAAGGGAGGCCGAGAGGCAAGCCGCGAATCGGCTAATGTTGTCTCTGCAGGCCGAAGCTCTCGGCAAGGTGTCGTATCCGACGACGGGTATATCTGGACATCCGGGAAGCGCGCCGGTGTCCAGTTTAGACACAAGGCAACAGACGTCGACAGGCCTGACGGCGGTGGGCCAGTGGGCTTCCCCTTATGGACCGCCGCAGCCGCTCGCCGAACCGATCTGCTGAAGCGACCCACGATTCGAGAGACTCTCGCCGAATGAATCTTCGGCGTGCATCTTCCTTGTGTGTCCTTTCTTACGGGAAAAATGCATGCCTCCCCTCGCTTTGCGATCTAAAGTGCAAAAATAAATCGCGAAACAATTTCGATCCCTCTCGAAGGTTCTCTTCGCACGACGTTATAGATATAGACGCATCCCACGGCCGGTTAAGAAATATCGTTCAATAATTCAACATCTGTGCTGAATAAAGACGTTAATTTTGTTACACACAAATGTGGCGGTTACGTTTCAGGTACCACCGAGCGCAATTATTTCCTAAGGAAATTACACCAATTGGCAAGTATACCGTTGATCATTAAAATTTATCACTTACTTTTCCGACTGGTCTTGTAAAACGAAATAAGCTGAATAATGTCTCTCTTGGTGCGAATTTCTTATTGATTTCAACTCGATATTTCATGCTCGTCACTTTTTACGATAAATGTTTGAAAAATTAATATCTCAAAAAAGTTTATTGTAAAAAGTATCAATGTCTGCAATGCGTTTTTACAATAGCATTTATCTTTATAAATATTGATTTCGGTGTGACTTCCTTTTGGTTTGCCTCGCAAAATAGAGAACACTTGCATACGAGAATCGGTCATAAGATAATATTATAGTGAAGAGATTTTTTAGAATAATAATTACGCGCGCGAATCGTAGGCTATACTAGTATTGCCTTCTTTCTGCCTTATGATATTCAGGCTACAACCATCATCACACAAACACGAAGGAAAAAAAAAAGGAGCACCGCGAAATCAATTATAAATTGCCTTACACAGCACGTACTCCCACAATTGTATTTATTAGCCAACGGCTCAAGGTTTTTATTGCCATATGATCGTAACGTTTTAAAAGAGTGGTTTTAACGTGCGACCAACCGGTATCACACGACACTAATAATAGTCGTGGATTTATCATGTACGAATAATCGAGGGCGCATTAAAAGCGTCCGGTTCTCCTTCCCGAAATGGGGATAATCATCGCCGATTAGCCTCGGTTGACGCGACATTATCGACACGTACTTGTCTTTCAATCGCGACGGAATAGAGTCTCGGAGATAAGAGAGCCTCTCCGAACGTTATTTCCAGATCTCGCCTTAATGGGCCGGTTCTTCGATAATGTCTCTTCACAGCTGACATATTCGATCTTTTCTACTAAATAGAAGAGACGGACGCGAGAGAAGTTCGATTCGATCATAAATGTTATTCCTGCACGTCTAGAAAGAGTGAGCCAGCGTCTATTTTTCCAGTTCACAATTTTATGGAAGCCTTAGAATATGCAAATTTTCTCAAATCTAAAGGCTCTCAAGTTTCGTTCTTTGATTACTAATACATCGGTTAATTAATGTGGTATGTGCCATTTTTACATATTTGCATATTCTATGACTTCTGACTGAAGGAACGGGCCTTTGTCCTTGCAAATATCCAAAGATATCGTTTCGTCAAAGCCTATTCTCTCTGAATTGTCTCATACTTTTCTTTAAATATATTTATTCAGCAGGGAGGAAAGAGGAAGACGCGCAAAATCGTAGTTATAATAATTATTGTTTTATCGGCGAGAGAAATAGTATCGGCACATACAGCGCTACTAATTTTATCAACTCTAAAATATGTGAGCCGATACCGACGACATCTTCTAAAATAGAAAATACAATTTACATGCTCGAAAAATAAGCGTTGACGTACGGTTCTAAATACTCGGCACGCTTCGTTGAATCAATAATGCATTCTTGAATTCGGCAAAACCTCATGCGACATCGCAGGATTAACTCGAGGAAGTGAAGAAATCATTAATCGCCGTAAGCATGAAAACAAAGGCTCGTATCGAGTGAGCCTAACGGAGGAAATACAACCAACGTGACATATCTGTGTACATATTAGGCGTTATAGTTACTGTAATTAGACTGTACTTGTACGATACGAAATACTTGTATACGCAAAAGTGCTGTCGTGCCAATGCACGTATCGACGGCGTACGTTCCCTTTAATTGTTACAGATACGTCCTGTATATACATGTGTATGTACATATGCATGTATATATATACATGTATACGTACATATATATATTACTTCGTGCGAGCTCGGCAAAATGCAATCAAGATTATATTATCCCGGAATATTATTATACACAAGGTGTCTCATAATACTCGTCTAAATAAATGCCACCGTATTCCTGAATCAAAATGGAGCAACATTTTCCTTTTGCAAAAATTGCTAAATACGCTGTCTTCTTGGTTACTTGATTTTTTGACGACCAATATGTATTGAATCGTCTCGAGGCCCGCTGAGGTGGGTGACATACAGAGAACGCAATCGTTACTTATTGATCTGAATTCGTTCGCTAAACAATTTAGTAACTAAGAAAAAGTTATCTCAATTTATATTATGTCAAACGGAAATGTTGCTTCAGTTTGATCTAGAAACATCGTGGTATACTTTTTAAGCAACTATTACGAGACACTCCGTATGTATGTGTGTGCGTGTGTGTGTGTGTATGTATATCGCTACCGCACACACACGTCGTCATCGTCGTTATCATCATCAAGTATGAAATTTTAAATATAATTTTAAGTTACGTTAAGTCGTAATTATTATTAATAGTAAACGATGTGATGTTATGTAAGTATATACGTGTAATACGTTGTATATACGGAGAAGAATCGAAATGCATATAAAATAATTTAACTGCTATACACACACACACACATATTTCGATCTGAAATTGCATAATTTCCTCGCGGGTATGATTGTTGCCGATGGGTTGGTTGCACTTGAGAAGAATTCTGTTAATTATGGCAGAAACAATTATATATCCACAGTTGCTTGGTGATCATTCCTGTTAATTGATCCATTTTCCGACATGCGGATAATTATCAATCTTAATGATTTCTTTAGGCACCACGTAATTTCAAATGTTTTATTATGTCAACTGCAATGAACTTTATTTAAGATAAAAACATAAAACAACAAAGTATTCTCATCACGATTTCTTTATTACATCTTCATCGCTCGTTATAAATTTAATTTGTCGTATTCCTACATGTCCCAGTGAAAACACATTTCGTTTCTTCCGATGCTACCGGTTATGCTCGTGCATTTGATTCGTTCAAGAACTACCGAGGAAGTGTCATGTTTGAATTACTGTAACTCATCACTTGGTGTCAACATCAAGAAATTCCTACATATCCCTCGATTTCCCGTTATTTTGATCTCGTCGTTGTCGCTTGAAACGACTATCTTGTCGCAGGATCTCAATCCTTTATACAAGTAACCAGCCAATTTCTCCCTCCTCTTTTTTTCTTCTTCCCCATTCCCTCTCTATTGCTCTTCCTCTTTCGCTTCTTCCCCCCCCCCCCCCCNCGCGAGTCCTTTTTCTCTGCGATCCCCTTAATCGGTGTGTCTTTTCTCGTGGAATTATCCCGCCGCTTCACCTAGGAGCTCCCTGTATACCGGATGTGGCCGCGTTTACTGCCTATAATTGCAGTGGAGATGCGGCTCGCCGTCCCGCCCAATTATTTGGAGACACTACCATCGTTGCCAGGAACTCAAGTCCCGAATACTTCGCGCATATAACGTCTCCGTGGATCATGATTGCGAGATTATAATACACGATCTGCTTCATAGACGGTATTAATGAGCGGTGGTTGTTGTAATCTTTTGGTAAGTGCGGTTAATCAATTTGGGAATATATTGCAAACGACAATTTCATACGTGCAAGAGAGACAAAGTATTATTTGCGAGAGAAAATTATATAGAACGATGTAATAATTATATAAAATATAGAATTATATTTTTCTTCTTTTTCCTAAAGATTATTCACCTAATGACTAATTATTTGCCGATACTGAACGAAGGAATCTCATTGGTTCTTTTTACCGTACGATTTTTCTTAAAGACGATATATTTCAGGAAAAGCGATGTATTCATAGTATCTCAAGTGTTCAGCAGTTGAGCCACCGACAAATACTACTGGGCTTCTGAGCGATGCGTCATTGCTGCCCTCTAATCTCTCGTCCCGAGCCTTTCTACGGTATTTCTAGTTTTTAACGTAACCGCCACGCCGCTGACCAATTAGGACACGAACGTCTATGAAATCCTGCGAGCCACCGCGATGCAACGCCACAATCTAACAAGTCGTTGACCGTAACTTGGAGGATAAAAAAGCAGAGAAAAATGAAAAACATCCTCCAATTTTAAAAAGAATATTTTTACTGCTATATCTTCAATTGCCGTCAATTTGTTCACGCACACGTAATTTATTAATAGCTACGCACAAAGGTATTTTTTAAATTTATAATGACTGTATATCACGATATTGTAAAATTCAGCTCAAGCCAGCTCTTTGGCAGTATTTGCGCGCATCGTGTGCGTGAATCGGCCGTGTAACGCCTGAACATCAATGAAGCGAAATTATGCAAATACTCGATGCTCAGTTGTTCCGTCCGTTGTCGGGTGCACACCCTCGAAATTAATTTATGCTCATGCACGCGCATGCCGCCCTATTTCATCTCTCGTGCTGGCAATCGCCACCGAGAGGAAAGGTTCGTTGAATTAAAAAGTAATCCAATATTAGATTGGCTAATATTGAGTGTACGACGCTTATTCCTTCGTGTGCTCCCTTTCCAGTAAATGATTTCACATCAAAATTATTTTCATCAAAAATAGAGAAATTAGATTTCGGCTTAAATACCTCTCTAAACAGATATAAAACATTCTGTTCAATGATATATTTGGACGTTGCAAATAGTACAAATGCAATATACAGAATTATTCCTGAGATTGCTATCTGTTTTATCGGATTTTGAGCACGTGCTGGGCAAAGTTACTCGTTATTAATGATAACGGGAGCCGATCTCTTTTGCGGTCGAGTAATACGCTTAAATAGAAATTTATTTGCTAAGAAAGCAGCATAATATATAAAATATATAAGTCGCGTTAGTCGTTCCTTTTGATCGCTATTCTTAAAACATTACCGTACAGCAATGCGTGCGCGCACACAGGAGCGTGAGATACGTTTATAAAATCATGAGCAGCGCGCTGTGCCATATTTACACCGAGCGTAGAAAATTTATTGTGATTGCGCCTCACAAACGCGCGTAAAGCTCTAGCTATACGCTTTTTCCCCGCGCCATCGTATCGCTCGCCGCCGAATGGCAGCTCAATTTCGCGACGGCAACGAGTTGCGCTTATGGAAATTGATAGTTGGGATGAAAAATAAATTCAACTGCGACTCGCTTGTCCAAGGTATTCACATTCCGACAGTGGCAGTTACACTTTGATTCATCAACAGCGTCAATTCTCATTAAGGGTACATCTAAATATACGAACAAGCGTTATTCCGAGGAAGATAAAAGAGCGACCCTCTCGCGGTAAAATATACTTTTCCATTTCGGGAAATAGCCCGGCGCAACAACACCTAATTGGATGGTAGTATCTTTTGATCGAGACCGGTCAATTTCTGCGCGACTGCCCGTTAAATACTTTGTTTCCTAAAACACAGTGTCGAAGCACCGTTCATTTCCTGCCCTACCCGTAAAAACCGACTCCCTTCGACTATCTTGTGAAGTAGTTTCTCTATTTCCGATCATTTGCGGTTTCGGCTGCGGTGACGGGAAGGACCGCGTTAAAATCGAAATCAGCTCGTTTTTCTCTAGGCTTTTCAATAGGCTGCGCGCCGAACAACGTCGGTTCTATTCTTTCGTGGATTATCGGCAGCCATTAAAAGTAAACTTGTTCTACGAACGTCGAATGACGTTCCATAGTGATAACAAGAAGAAGAGATAAAAAGAGAGAGGGAGTGAGTGAGAAAACGGATGAATAAATGATGATTATGTGTGTGTATGAGAATGAATGATTATATACGTAGGAATAATTTGGTGATAAAAGTGCGCATACAATAAAAGCCAATGCAACATAACGCATCTTCCCGGGAAGAAAGAAGTTCGAGCTCGAAAGTAATAAAAGCAGCGAGCGCGACGTGCGCGAGACGGAAATTGTGCTTGTCAAACGCTTTTCCTACGTCGTTCCACGCTTTTTCGTTTTCACTACTACCATAGCATACTCCCTTGTCGCGCGACAAACGACAGGCGACAGACGACAGCGCGAAAAAGGCGACAGGCAGACGCTTCTGATCCAGCAAGCGAGCGAGGCGCCCATTTAGGATGATTGCCTGATTTTATGTATTTATACCGGACGAAGAGAGAAGGGAGGTTAAACCGCTTTTCACACCGTGCGTTTCTATCGCTAATAGGAATTCGTTTCGCAGTTTATATCCATACGAATAAGATTTTTATTATTTGTGTTATATATAGAATTATAACACAGACGAATTCGTGATTGTCACACTATTTTATAAAACTGTAACCAAGTTGTCGGACTTCTTAGCGCGCGCGCGTCTGATATGTGTTAACATATATAACATTACAATGAACATTTTATGACACATTGTGAAATGTGATGAAAACATTGTGTCAAGTTAGAAACCATAGGTTAGTATTTACAAACGAAAAAAAACTATATTTAATTTATAAAATATCGCTCTTAATCTTTTACATCGTACATAGTTATTGCAAAATTGAGGATTAACACTTTTCTCGCTGATTTCCATCAAATGTTCAACAATTTATCTGTATACGAGTAATTATGTTCGATCGTGTTACCAATTCTACAATATCTTGTACATAGTCGCTCTTAATAAATTTTTATTAAATATCGTAGCCTATCGGAAATTCGATCGCTGTAATTACTCGCCCACCCCGCATCAACAAGATTCGATGCAAAGTATTCGTGGCACAGAGGGGATGGTTCGCTGCTCCCATGGGTATTAAGACGGGAAAAGAAAATAGCTGAAGCCGGTGCGGCACGTGTGCACCACCCTGACTAGTGTGATGACTGACTCGCGTGTGCGCGGCACAAAGACAAGTGCAGTATCGTCAGAATGCTTTTAATATTTAATGCGATTAAACTCATTTAGTTCCGCCTCCTGTAATTGGTTTCTGATTAACTGCTAAGTTTTAAGTGCATCAGCAATAGTTACATACGATGTCATACTCCGACGTCTGTCGTCAACTAATAATCTCGAGTGTTATCGCGGGAAACATCACAAAAATCATTGTATTAATCAGGCATTAGAGGCGATAGAATTTTGTTCGAATGAATCGATCAGAAGCATACGATGATAACTAATTTTGACGAAAATTCAAAAAACCGCCGGTCCTGAAATTCCAATTATTCGAAAAATTCCGAGTGCTAATCCCGAAATCATCCGTTCGAACTAAACACCGTAACTGATGAAATATTAATCTGTTATTTTGCTCAAACGACCCTTATCGCTAACATCTGATATACCTCGGGGTTCTCTCGGCCAGTTCAAGTGCCGAGTGTTGCAGTGGGAGATAAGTTGTCCGTAGGGATAATCCGTGGACTCAGCGGGTGTCTCTAGTCGGCATGGTTTCACTCCATCTTCTGTTGACAGACCAAATCCCCCGTGTCAAGTGTCTCTATCTACCAACGAGACGATCTCCGCGATCTATTCTATCGGCTGTATATCCAATTAAAAGAGCAAAATTTCATTAGCCGTCACGAACGAATTGGATAGAGTAGATAAGCGCAAATAAATACTCGCCGTATGAACAGATGTGCCGGTATCGTAAAAACGTTCAAATTTATGTGCGACAGTAAACGATCGATGAACGTTCGATCAATTGTTCCGCGTTAACGTAGACTCACTTAAGGTACAGCGAGGCTCTCCACGATTCTTGCACCAAATTACCATCGACTTTAAGCCGAAGTCGTAAACCTTACCGCTTGATTTGAATTTCAAATGCAGTCGGCTACGCCGAAACCCACGTCAAAAGAACACATTTACCTTGACCCTTTCGAGCGATATGTCTATGTTTATTGCAATATTAATCCGAATAATTCAGAAAAACTGATGCAACAATCCTCTCTTATTCGAACGATCATTTTGTGTCGTACGATTTCGTCAAATTTGCTTTGCAAGAAGTTCGTGTTTAAACACAATGTCAACTAAGTAAGTCAGGAGGATAGGTGAAACACACGATCTCTCGAAGATCTTAAATTAAACCGCGCGTTGTTTTGCGATCAGAAAAGGATTCTGATCGGCGGCGGGAAGTTGAGAGCGTTCCGGTGTCGCTCGCAATCGGGGCATAAAGTGTCCACATAAAGCAAAGTCCTGGTAGGCAGGCCAAGACGCCGAGAAAGGACCCGATGCGAAATACATCTGCCGCCTCCTCTGCTACTCCACTCGACTGTTTATCTTTTTCTATCAGCTAACCAGAAAAGTCCGTGTGGTTTTACTAGAGATATATAGGGTGTCTCCTGTATGATTGAAAAAAAAAACATCATTTTTCCCTTTAAAATATAAAAACGAAAATTTTGCATAACATTTTTTCATACATTCTTTCGAATAAACCAATTTTAAATATGATAAATTAATCATATATTATTTACATTGTATATTTTGTACATTACTACTTTGAAAGAAATTAGCACGAATAAATTTTACAGAAACATTTAATATTCCTGAAGTATACAGTTGGCTTTAAGCATAAAAATAAATATATATAAGTTACTCGTTGATTAATCTTTAACAATAAACGGCAAAATTGGAACTAACAGCAAATGTCTCTGTATAGTCTAATTTATGAATTTTAATTGCTACTTTAATCTCTGATTTTTCTGATGTACCGAAATCATCTTTTTAAATTATCTCTTTGTTTATCACGCATATAATTCTTAAAAAAAAAAAATAACCAAGTTCTACAACCAAGTTGCTATAAAATATACAATACACTTTAAGTACAAGGACTCTTAGCAGGACTAAAAAAGAAAATCCTAATGATAGATCTACAGATGTAACTAGATAGTGGCGCAATCTGGTGATAACTTACGCCATCACGTTGGCAACGGCAATGACCAACTGAGCAACTGTATTATTTTAGCAGCCGAGTAACTGAGCAACCGAGTATATAGTATTTATAATTGTTTAGCAATCGACTATGCGATCTCAACGCCGCCAACGGAATATTAATATACTAGTACGGATCACTTGCTAGACAACAAGCTTTGAGTGGATTTGTGCCTGGTGGATCTGATGGTTGCGGTGGAATTAAAGAATAATTGCAATATTTTGTAGAAACTGACTACTTTAATTTCCTATATGTCATGTATTATTTGTGAACAATGATCAATCTTGTAACGAAGAGAATAATCTCCTTTAAATTAATTCGCTTGTATTGCCATGTCGCAAATTATAAATCTGCTAACCTGATCCGAAAGGAATTTCTAGATTATTTTACAAAAAATCTAAAACATAGTATTATTCGTTCCAGTCCTGTTTCTCCAATTACTGATCAATCACTTGTATTTACTAATGCCGGTATGAATCAAGTATGTTTTCTCATCGTGATAAATTTACCTGTATTAATGAATTTAAGGAATACTTCTCTTAAAACATATATATTCAGTTTAAAGGAATTTTCTTGAATTATTACGAACCACCTGCGACAAAAGTTGTGAGTTCGCAAAAATGTATTAGAGTCGGTGGGAAACACAATGATCTTGATATTGTTGGTAAAGATAGTTATCATCATACATTCTTTGAAATGCTTGGCAATTGGTCCTTTGGAGATTATTTTAAGGTACAGTATAATACATATTGTGTGTTTATTTTTTAGAGAAATATATAATAGATTATAAAAAAATTTTTATTCTTTAACATACATAGGAAGATGCTTGTTCGTATGCTTGGAATCTTTTAACAAATGTGTATGGTATACCCAAAGAATATCTGTATGTAACATATTTTGGTGGTAATAAGGATTTGGACATAGCGCCTGATCTAGAATGTAAAGATATTTGGTTAAGACTTGGTCTTCCAGAATACAAAATTTTACCATTTGATGTACGAGATAATTTCTGGGAAATGGGTATATCAGGCCCTTGTGGACCCTGTACAGAGATACATGTAGATTATATGAAGCGATCTGTCAATCAGGCTGCACGAGTAAATAAAGGATATGCAGATCTTCTGGAATTATGGAATATAGTTTTTATACAATACGAAAGGTAAGTTATATCAATTCCCGCATTATTGTTAGATCTATTAGATATCTAAAGTCACTTAAATCATGTTAAGCACAATCATCTTTGATTGATATATTTTTTCATTATCTTGACTGTTTATCACAAAACTTATTAATTATATCGTGTGATATAAAATAGTCTATTCAGTCTTTTAATATTTTATGTTAGGCTTGCAAACGGATGTATAATACCTTTACCAAAACATCATGTTGATACAGGCATGGGACTTGAACGATTAGTTACATTGCTGCAAGGAAAAAAGTCAAATTATGATACAGATCTTTTCCAGCCATTGTTTCATGCGATACAAAAGTACTCAAATGCTCCAAAATACAAGGGAACATTTAATAACGATGATACAGGCAAAATTGACTATGGTTATAGAATCTTAGCAGATCATGCAAGAATGGTTGCTGTTGCGCTGGCTGATGATATGTTACCTGAGCAACAGTATGGCTTAACATTTGGATTTCTATTGTCCAATAATACATTCGCATACAAACATGCACATGTATGCATAATGTGTATTATAGATAATGATGAAAAGATAATTAATTAAAAATATCATACGCTTTTCAGCCCAAAGTTACGGAGAGTATTACGAAATGCAATAGATATAGGAGAGAAAATATTTCGAAAAACTGACATACTTGCCGAGCTAGTCCGTCATGTAGCTGATAATTTAGGTGAGGCTCATGAAGAATTACACAATAATCTTAAGCAGGTAACTTGAAATAATATTATTAAAATTACTGCTACTTATTCTCTTGGTTAAGACTTGGTAAGACTTGTTTCATATTATTTTAATATTATTGGATGCAATGCTAGGTAGATAAAATAATACAGTTTGAGCAAGACTTGTACAATAGATTGCGGAATACCTCTGGTAAAAGATGGAAGGAAATGGTGAAAATTCGTCCTGAATTAGCATCGGTTACTGATTGGACAGCCTCCGGTTTACTTGATGGCTATAAAAATCTACAGACTGTGTTGAAAGACTTGTAAGACAGATATTTATACGCAGATATAAAAGTTTTATAGATAGAAATTTTTTCCATTACATGTCACAAAGCATCGATACAAGTATATCATATTCATTTATATATGACTTTTACAGACGTAAAACCAACGTTTTACCTGGAACTGTTGCATTTAAACTGTATGATACGTACGGGCTTAATTCAGAAACTATAACAGAGTTGGCGCAAATCGAGTCATTACACTTTGATGAAGTTGACTTTAAAAATCAACTGGATATTCGCAGATATCAATCGAAGATTGGATTCAACAAGTATAATGCTATATTTACTGAAGATAATTTGAAGATACTTGAAGAAAATCACGTACCTAAAACAGATGATTCGTTCAAATATAATTATATGCATAATGGAAGTAACTATGAATTTTCAGCACTCAACAGCAAACTTATTGGTATCATTATCAATGGTAAAGTAGACCCATACGGATGTTTCTTTCTATACGATGTACCTACTCTACTGAATGCATTATTAACTTACTAAAAAACCATATTCATTTAATGTGTTATAGGGAAATTAGTGGCAAGTATGAACTACTCCCATACTGCAAAACCTAACGATGTTAATAGCAAAACAGCTATAAATGTCAGTGATATATTAAATAGCAAAGATGAGATTGGCATTATATTGGACAAAACTGTATGTTATTCGATAGAGGGTGGCCAAGTTTCAGATCGAGGAAATATACACGTCAAGAATCTACTTTTTAATATACACAATGTCAGGAAAGTAAATGGCTATGTGATTCATTTCGGACAGTTTGAAGAAACAAATATACCGTAAGAATATTTCTCTCTTAGTTATCCTAAGGTATATTGCAGTCTACATATATATGCAACTATAAATACATGCACTTTTTAGAACGTCAGAACTGTATTTAACAATGGAAGATGACTGCTCGGTTAACATAGATTCACAGACTCGAATTGATATTATGAAACATCATACAGCAGCCCATTTGTTGAATGCAGCCATAAAAGAAGTTTTGCATACGGTTTATCAACGTGCCTGTACAGTTGATAAAGACAGCCTAAAACTTGAGTTCAATCCGTTTGGTGAAAAACTTACATTGGAGCAAGTGAAAACGATAGAAGATCGCATCAATAATGTTATACAGTCTAATGTTGCAGTGACTGTACAAACATTAAACTCACTCCAACTGTTAGCACAGGATGATATTACATTGGTGCCTGGAGAAATATATCCTTACACAAATATTAGAATCGTAGAGATTAACGCTAATGATTTGAAAGCAAAGTTAGTGAGTTTAAAATTTAACTAACGAATTCATAGAATTCGGTTCAACCCGATATTTAATTAGTGATTATGTATGTTTAGGGAAGCGTGTTGTGGCACGCATGTACATAATACAGGTGTATTACAACATTTTTACTTTTTGACGCATACCTCAAAGGGAGCAACAAACTGCACGGTTAAAGCCGTCGTTGGTCCGAGAACTCTGCGTATGAAACAAGCTATTGAAAAAATACAGCATAAAATTACGGAGCTAGAAAATACTTTGCAAAGTACCGAATTAACTTACGAAGCATTTAACGCGAAAATAAATCGAATAAAAGAGAAAATTAATGACCGGACTGAACAAATATCATTATCTTATCTATTTAAAATGGACTGCTTGACACATCTAAAGAATTTGAGTGTGAAAAAATGGCTGCAGGAGAAAGAGATTGAAAAGTACGCGATATATCATATATTACGTAATATCCAAACAAAATCTCATTACGAAGAATAATTCTTAATCAATGATATTTTTTATAGAGCTTCTGTAACTCGTGAAATTACTACCGCTACCGATTCGTCTTATTTTATCGTGCATTGTCTAGATAAAAATCCTACATATCTGTCGTTGCACGAGGTTGTATCCCTCTTCTCTGGGACACCAGTGCTGGTTCTGTCGCATAATAATGGATCTATGAAAGCACGGTGTTCTGTACCACAGGTACTGTGTATTTATATAGTAAATTATACAATATATAATATACATTTAAATTCAATTAATAATCGCCTCTTCTCGAATAATTTTTATAATTTGCAGGAAATAGTCTCTAGTGTATTTAATGCACAAACCTGGATGGATATTGTACTTAAAATTTTTCATGCAAAATATGGACCTATTAAAGGATTTGAGCCCATGCTAGTTGCATGTATGAAATCTAAACAGATGTCGCGTGATTTTATTGAAATGCATACGAAAAGAGCGATTGCAGAGGCTACCAAGTTCGCATCAGCACATGTAAAAAGAAATTAAATCCATCAATAACAAACATTAATGAGCACTCATCAGCTCATAATTGATATGCTAAAATGTTGGCAGTGATAAACTCATATTTATCACTTTGATTCCTGTCCTCTTCCCCTTCTCCCTCTAACACACAGACATTCTGTATGCAACGGCAAAATAACAGAACAGTACGAATATCAATTAGAAATTAATTTGGGCAATCCTTTATACATGTATGTTAAACAATAGCACGCAATACATCCAAACGTAACTCTTGAAATAATTATAACTTTATAGTTGCATGTTTCTCGTAAAACAGCTTTAGTGCATTCCACTGTGCTGTATGAAGCAATATGTGCGGCCTTTTGCTTCGCATGTGATCTACTGCTTGTTCGGGCGTCCAATTATTTCTCTATATACATGAACAAAAAACGTCTATCGGTATAATTCAAATTTTTTTAATATTATATTTAATATGATATAAAATATCTCACTATCATCAAGTAGCACCCAACTAGTGTCGCACTTCTCGTTCTTCCTGCTTTACAATGAACGTAAACTGTGCCATTTCGATCATAACTGTTAACAGCACCTGGATCATTTAGTTTCCTTATCGGTACGCTACAAAATTTATTGATAAAATTTACACCATTCTGTAGTTTTTTTTGACAAGGTGCTTGAAAAATGTCCGTTGTGGCTAATTGCAGAAACTCCACATTGTGCCTGTTCCACTCCTGATGAAAAAGATGTGTTTTCATACGAATATAAAATTATTTTTCAATTATTTTTGTTATATTCTGATTTTTTTAATGAGTTGTTTCGTAAATTTATATCTTTTCGTACCTTCTCTGTATTAGACAACAAAGACAATTCGTAATCTTCGTTCATCGATACAACAGCTTTAACATTTTCATCATTGATTAACTGAAATATAAAAAAAAGAGTAATATATATGAAAATAAAAATGATGTAGCAATTTCAATTCAAATTTATTTGTATTATAATCTAGTAACGTTTATTGCATACATAGCAGTGTCAATATTCGGATATTCGGGTATCTTCCAAAAATGATAACGAGAACTCGATCATTTTGCAAATTATTTGGGTAATCTAGAACCGTTATATAAGTACTTCAGGATAAATTAAATTGCTGCAAAAGTTTATAACGAATGACAAAAATAGGTTAATTGTTAGTTAATAATTAATGAAGTATCATCCGCGACTTTTAATTCTCGATACTCGAATATCCGTTTTTTAATACCCATGAATTTTAGTACCAATTCGAGAGGTACTCGTGAATGAAGAAATTACTAACAATATATAATATTACTGTTATATATTAATGGTATCTATTTTATGATGTTTTATTTAATATTTATAAAGAGAGAAGTTAAAAATATTATTACGACCAAAGTACTGATTAGAAATTTCTTTCATATTTTATTAAAGCTGCGCTACAAACGCTAATATAATTAAATATATTTCTTTATATTTCTTTATAGAATTACTATTATTAGATATGAAATAAATCGAAATATTCAATTAAATTTTTAAAGATAGTACAAAGATATTTAGATTTTTTATACTACACATACCTGCTTCGTCATCCATCGGAACGGTAAAGCGCCTAGTATGACAGTCTCATCTATTCTATCATACCAATTTCGAGCTGTGATCTTTTCCATGACGATGTTGTAAAACAAGGTAGGATAAAACGTTACTCTCGCAAACATGTTCACTAAAAAGTAATCCTGAGAGATATTGCTTTAGGCTATATAATGATTTTTAAAACGCTTAGAATACACGATGTCAAATGTTCGTATTGGGATTTAAACACTTATGTAAAAGCAAAAATATGATTTCTTAAACTACCGAATGATCTTATTTCATTTTCACGTTTTGCCTCTTTTTTTTCCTATCTTTATATGTACAGTTATCTCGAAAGCATGATACAACGTCTTTCATAGCAGAAATGAATTAAAACGATGCCGACCTACTCTCGGATAAGCAACAGTGTAAGGTAACAGGACAAGACACCATAGTGGGGAGAACTCTTGACGTAATAAGAGAATATCACAAAAAGATCTAACCTTCTATAACTGATGGTTACTTTCATTTCCATATACTTTCATATTCAAATAAGTACATTGTATGTTAGGACATATATAGTAGTTTTACAATGAGACATTTTTAGTTGAATACATCGTGGTAATAACCACTTGGAATAAATAATATTAGAGATACATACATACTGATGTCCAGAATTTTAAAAATATGATGATAATTGGCAAAATAAAAATTAACTAGCAAGATTTTCTCTCACCGTCTCTTTTCTTTATACAATAAAATGTTAACAAAGTTTAATGAATCATCGTTGTACGTCATCGATGAAATATATTCATAAAACTACTCAGTCACACACTTTGTACATAATAATATATATATTTACATATATAGTTATACATTGTTATTAATTGATTTAACATTACAGTCTTGCCGTGATCGTAATAAATCTATATCTAAGCAACAGAGCCCTAATTCTCCTTTTCTAAATAAACTAATAAAATAATCTGCTGCAAATTGAAAGTCTGGTTTGACTATTAATTGCCCAGATGATTCTTTTAATCGTAAGGTCTTTTTCAACTTTGCGGCAATAAATGTAAGCACATACTGCACATTATCGTTTGGTTCGGATAAACCAAGTACTTCTGTATATTCATAACGGCTTTCTTTGTTCAGCCAGTAAAGCAAGTAATCAGCAAGTATATATGATTCTACAATATGATCTTTCAAGCACCCAACTAAAGACAGTTTGAGACCAGTATGGATATCTCTAATGGCAGGAACTAAAATGCCTGGTGTATCGATCAAATATATAGTCGGATTTTCTGATACTTTAACATGGGTTAAAACAGCGCGTGTAATACCAGCTACTGCACCAACATTAGTTGCTTTACCCATATGAAGGATATTGTGTCTTAAACGATTAATCAAAGTAGACTTTCCAACATTAGGTACTCCTATAACCATCATGGAATAGGAAAGTTCTCCTGCTCTGTTATAACGATTTGAATTTAATATTAATTTCTTGGCTAAAGGCATAATTTTCTTTGTTTCTTTGCAATGTTGATCTTTCAAATTTGTTAATATTATATTGGACAGTCCTTCTTTTTTTAATACAGAGACTATACTTTCTGAATAGTCTGTATCAATTAAATCTTTTTTGTTTAATATAAATATATGTGGTTTTAAGCTTGTCAGGGTCCTTGAATAATCTGCATAATGTCCAGAAAGTGGTATTCGTGCATCATGGACCTCAATAATACAATCGACATTTTTCAGTCGTTGTTGCATCTGTTTCAAACCTTTTGTCATATGTCCAGGAAACCATCTTATTACTTTTTGAGTCTCAAGCACAAATTTTTTTCGCAGATTAGCAACTACTTTACCTCCCGTGCTTGCCATCGTGTTGTAATTTTGACGAATAACTTGTTTTGTTCTTCAGATAATCGTCTTGCTTTTGAGATCCTAAAACGTTAATAATATCCAATTGGTGAAAATTCTGAAACGATTCGTTCACAAAGGTTCACCCGCAATAGTTTTGCAAACAAAATACAAAAAGTGTTAACAAGAAAGTATAATTTATATTACACGTTTACACTAAAAATCTTCCGTTTTTTAAAAATGCATGATAAATCAACTATCAAATCACCGAAAATATACCTTACAACGTGAAATGTCACTGTTGATTCAACATATGCTCTGAATGAAGTATTTAATTCATATTATTGAATTATACAACTTCTGAAAAGGCAACTATCGTTAAAACAAGATGGTTTAACAATTATTAGGGAATTTTTGCAATACCGTCTTTCAGATACGGTAAACGCTACAGTGTGCTCCGATATTCACTGCCAACACTTCAAATCTATAGATGTATGACACAAACTATAGATTCGCAGTACTGAAATAAATATCGGAACGTACTTTAGCATTTCTCGTATCAGAAAGACGGTATTGCCAAAATTCCCTATTGGGAGAGTTTTAGTAATACCATCGGTGTTCGCTCATTGAAGATGGTGTTTCACCTAGAGAAAATGTTAGGGACTCTAGAAATTCTCTATCTGACAGCCATTCGGCACATCCGACAAACTCGAGTACGGACGCATTCTTAGGTTTGTTCTGCAATACTCCGTATGTCGGAACGCAACCGATGATTCAGTGAAAGAATTCATTTTTCGAGAACGAGTTCTCTTCATTAGCTACCCGACGGTGATGTATTGTAGAACAGGTCTTAATAAGCGATATTTTTCAAACATCGATGATTTTGCTTATCTTTACTTTGCAGTATTGCAATCTATAATTCATGTTACGTATATTATAGTTTACAATATTGTAGCGATTTTGAAACAATGCCCGAGTCGAGTCAGCAAATCGAAAACGTCATATGAATAGCGCCCTATAAATACCGGTCTTCATGTTCGTAGTTGTGGAGCGCAATAGCTCCTTGAAGAGTCGAGCAGCGGTCTCGTTGCAAATAACACGTACTTAAGTGACTGTATCTGTTGAATAACGCAATATCGTTTCAGAATTGTCGTCAATGAACGTTGAGTACAGTAAGGCATGGAAATCGCTTCTTTCGATGTAAGCGCACGACATTGTTTCATTCATTGGAACGGGTATAATTGTATCATAAATTGTGTGTGTTTCCGCTCGGATTGTCTCTTGATCTCTGCTACTCGCAATTGACGTACGAGGCTCTTTAGCTCTTGACCAATTTTCAACGATATAACCTATCTGAAACGTGGCACCGTTTTTCTTAACATCGTTCAAATTAAGCGCTCTCGTACAGCTAACATGGCTGACCGTCACGATTACCTCTTATATCAAAAGGACCGACAGCTACTGTCGTAACTGTATATAGTTAAAGTACTGTGGCTACAGTGTCAGAAAAAGAGCAGAATTTTCCATGTTATTCTCTTTCCAGTATGTTATAAAGTTCACCATAAAGAATCTTAAGATTTGGTCGAATGCCTTAACCTATTTTTGTTATTTTTTTTTTTTATGAGGTTCCGTTAAAACTTTGATATCCATTTTCTTCACACCTATCTACGTCATTTGCTGTTGCGCCGCGCATGCGCGAAAAAGCGCCCGTCCAATACTGGCATGAAATGGTGCAGCCCACCACACATATATATAAAAGTTGCGTATGAAGGTATATCTTCATGCAAGCTCGCGAGTGTCAAATCGTACGTCCACGATTGGTCGATTATCTGCTGCACGCAGTTACGAGCGGCGTGCAAGCGACCAATGGTGAACAATCGCGGATGCGATTGGCGTATGATTGCGTAACCGAGCGCAGTTCGCATTGGGCTTGCGCAGCTTGCGCTCGCGGCCGTGCGAAAGTCCACATGAGCCTGTTGCCAGTTATTGATCCTGGCGCGATTGAACAACACTGCATTGCCGTCAAGTACGAAAACAATTCTCGCCACGTCTCTGCCGTGTTCGCATTCGATAAATCGTTAACGTAAGGGCTGATAAACGCCCTTATCATACCGTGTACGTCGTTTCGTGCGCGACACACGTTGCGAGGCTCCGTCGACACGTCTGCTAACGTACTGTCAAAATGTAGAGGAATCTCCAAGCCTTAGTAGCGTAGTAGTGTTCGCTGCGCCTCAAGAGCCGACGAGGACGGAGCTATCATGTCATCGGATTTCCGCGAATGAGCTTGAGCTCGAATCAAAAGGACGACAGCTGAATTTTTCAATTCGAGAAGAAAGAACGAGGCGGACGCACGAATAAACGGCGCGGTTGCACATGTGATTCTCCCGTGTGGTCGACCTCATTTGGCAGACGCGATGAAGAAGTTCACGATCAAGGGTGTACTCGACGGATTCCGATCGTCGGTCCCGCAGCCCGCTAAACCCGACCAGGAAATCATTGAGAACCTGAGACCGGAGCACTTTCAAGTTAAGAGGGTCAGTATTAAATGTTCACATATTCGTCCGCTCTAATTCAAGTGGATCCGCCACTGCTTGCTAAACTTGCTCCGAATACCTCGCGAGTTTTCCATCGTGTAGCAAAGAGAGCTCTACAAAAGTCTGTCGCGATGCGCAATTTCACGTCAGTTTAGAATGTATATACGCGGAATGTAAAATCGCTTTCTACATGATCCTGCCTATCTACCGGATACATAACCTGTTCCTATTGTTCCTTTTGTCTTTTCTTGGAATTCTTTATCGATTGAGATAACGCAATTAATTGTTCGATAATTGTAAAACAAACAACTTAAAAACTTGTTTTTACATTTCGGACACGTAAGAAAGAAGCATCAAAAGATATTCAAACGGTAATTATCAAAAATAAAAGGAAAATCGATCAAGTAATTGGTTCTTTTTTTTTTTCTTCAAGTGAAGGATGGTAATACTTAGGCAAAAATGTATCTCATGCAAAATAATATTTTAATAATCAGTTGATTTTTACAATTGGAAACATTATATATGTTATTGATGTAACCGCGTTTTTTTTTTTTTTCGAAACGATGCGTGTTTTGAAAATCTGCGATCACTATATTCGCCCAATCGACTGTATCATATCTCTAAATGTTTTTATTGATTCTCTACAATATATTGATTTGTAAAAATTGTTTATTTTTTATTAACAAAAATAAGTCAATATTTTTATAACCCGTTATATTTTTCTATGTAAATGATCGGCATTTTATCAAAGACTTGAAATGCTCCAACGTGGAGGAGACTGCCCTTAACATTATTGTTGAAAAACCTGCCAATTTTTTGGTCTTAGACCATCCAACTGGACGCTTCAGCAGTCACTGCGCAGAGCCTTCAAAAGTGAAAGCATGATTGCCGAAGATGAGAAAAACTAATATTTAGGATGTTATTGTTACTTCCTCAATTAATCAACATTCACGATGCATGAAGACTCGGAATATACAAACACAATTGTATGAAATTTTTCATGACCTCAAATTTCGATTTCAAGCATTGAGGCATTTATGATGCCTGATGCACGTAAACCTCGTGATGGCTGTCGATATACATTGAAATCTCACTTGCCAAGTTTGTACGTCAAAACTGTCCCCGTCTATTTACTCGAGCGACTCGTTCGTAACTATCGGCCAAGTTGATATCGACTATCGCGCTTCGGTATACGTTCGTGCGAATATCCGTTATGCGGTTGAGAAACAGATAACGATACGTAAATATTATGACGCATACACACCTCCGGCAAATGCGAGGGCGATTACACAGATGCATGCTATTATTATGCGCGCTATGTATGTCGTTTTATTAGATGTATGTGGACATTTTTTTCTAATAAAATTTAAAAGTTAATTTTTCTCCCAAATTCAAATATTCTCGAGTCCTTTTGTGGGTTGTCATTTATCTTATTATGGAAAAGGCATGTTAAATCGAATTCGAAAAGTGTCGAGTTTCTCTTAAAACTATCGAAGCATTGTTGCTCCTTTTCTACGGCACTGATAGATGCTACATGATTTACTTCGTTTGTGAGCGGCTGTCTACACACGGATATCGTATTTTGACAGATTTAACGATAAGGAGATTAACATCTGCGTGATTTATTTTATAATAAATTATATAACATTAATTCAAATGTAAATATCAGGAGAATGAAACAAAAACAAGTCTAAATAAATTTCTGTTTTTTATTTCTATTTTTTTTTTTTTAATTTCAAATATAATCTTTAGCTCTTTTTACGCTCGGAAAAAGTACGAAGTCGGCGTATGTCACAAAATCGTTTAAAATAATAAAAATTTATCGTGATAAATAATGTCGAAAGCAAAATCTCCAAGTAATAAAATATAAAGAAGAAGTCAGTTATATTTCTGATAAAAGCAATTTATAGAAGATGTGTGTGACAGATCTGTCAATACACTGGAAGTTATGATGACCTGCTCTTATGAGAGCACTTATAGCTATAGATAATACTGCCAATAAGGAATTGCATTGCGTGATATATTCAGGACTAACCTAACCTAACTAAAATGCGCTACTTTTCAGCGCATTAATTTCGCAATTTTGCTATAGGCGAATCAAATCTTTATAGTTGATTAAATCTTAATAATTATAAACGCTTACAAAAATTTAAATTTAAATACATAATAATTTAAATCAAGTAAACAAGTAATTTTATAGAAAACGTAAATTTTTCTATTTATTAGATGAGTTTTTTTTAATAATTGGTCATACGGTGTATTCTTTATGCAATGAACGTAAGTAGAAAACAGTGGTGTTAATTTTCGGTCACCCGGATATTTGGAGATATGGAAATTATTCAGTTTATACTGACGATACTAATAAAAAACAATAAATTAATTCCATATATTATATAATTCGGCTGCAACGCGTATGTAAAAAGGAAATTATAAGATACAAGAAGAGAACCTTATTAGAAATTGGACATTACGACACGATGTACATTCATATAAACACGCGCGCTCCTGAATTTGTCAGCGGAATGGAAATAAAGGTTTCACCGCAGAGTGATGTTATAACAAGATATAAAAATGAACAAATTTGATCTCTGCATTGGTATCGTAGATTACGCGGCAATCATTTCTTCAATTTTGCCAATCTGATACTGGCATAAATTCTCGATTATATTTTTTCTAACCTGATCTAACTCTAACCTAATATAAATCCAAATAATTTTTTCATTAGTATAACAAGTCCTATATTAATAATATAATTCATACAGAGAGAAAAATATTACTAATTTGTATTAGAGCACATAACAACTTTTTGTATTATCCTAAAATTCATAGAAAAATATCTATAGAGGAAAAAAGTGGAGTGGAAGCTAACGCACGCGCGCCGAACTTTTCACTAGCGGAAAATTGATACTAACCTTGATATTGAGCCGATGCTGTGCGCTACTTGTGTACGTTTCGTCGTATCTATCATTTCGCTATATCTCCCGTATACGCATTGTCGTAACTCCTGAACCAAACCAATTTTGTCCGAATCTTACGGCATCTCGGAACAGCGTCGATTATCGAGATGTACGTAGGCTCAAACGAATTACTGTTCATGAATAACGAGTAATTTGAACGTATGAACATAAGTCAATGATAAAAGTAATTATCAGCAACGACCAAAAGTCAAGAAGAAACGGTACTCTGTCAAGTATTTAAGCGCCAACGTTTTGATTGGTTAAATATTTAAAAGCTTGATAAATACTTGCTGTTTTAAAAATAATTAAGTCATCAAGAAACGCACAATGGAAATTTTTTAAATCTGCGATATTCCTTGCTCACTACGGTTTATATATTTTGCCGTAGTTTAATTATAAAACAATTGAATATGAAACTCTTTTTACCCGACGTTAGTTTAAACCCACCGTTTCCATTATTGCAGCCATATCCGCCGTAAAATGAATTAATTTCTACGATCGCAAAAGTGCATTTGCTGTAAAAGAAAAAGCTTTACGATACACCGTATAAATGGAGCGCGAATTTTCTCGAATTTTCCAATAAATGGCTTTAATCAATTTCATTGTGCGTGTATTATTAATGTAAATCACACTAGGTCAATATTTTTGTGTTAATATTCTCACATTCGAGATAATACTTTTCCTATATGGCAAAGTATATCTTTCTTTTATTGCTATCACAATTCGTTGGGATAAACATCCAAAGAACGCCTTGTGATATTAATAATGACTAAAAACCGGTGTCACATCTCACTGGTCCAGCAAAAATGACTCTTTGAAAGAGCCTCCGGAGATTCGAAATCGGGCATTGGAGTAGGGCAGGTGCTGCTCTCGTAACTTTCGTATCATCGTATTTTAACCTACTTCCCTAGCGGTAGTGGTGGCCGGTGAAATGGAACGAGGGCAGTTTTCACGAACAGCGAAAAGCAGTGGTCTAGTCCCGCTGCACCAAAATCGATCTCGAAGCATATATTCGTCAGCCGTACACTCTCCTCCCTTTTTCAGCTGTTTTCTAGTAATTTTAAATCAAGCCCCTTCGTTCATTTACGCGATCGCCGATCACGCTCGTTTATCGAACTAAATATTTTTTTACATTTTCTTTCTTTTTTGTTCTTTTATACGGCGAGCGCATCTTTTTATCAGAGCCTTGGTTCGTATACTGCGTTATTAATTTTGCGAGTACAACATGACGATGACTTGAGAGCATGCTCGCTTTGCTCTTCGTTTTGCATCTTTTAAATACTCCCTTTACTGTTCAGACAACTTTCTTGCACGTGGAGAGTGTACGAGCGTCGGGCGTTTTTATGAATACATCAGCGTTACTTTGTGCCTCTGTGTGCGATGTAAAAGTGTTATTCATATGAAAATAAATATGTGTCTATTGAAATAAAGAAGAGCAAATTTTTAGAAATTTAAAGAAGCTTTTATCTTCCGTATCAGTTCCTCTCTCTTTCTCTCCTGATGAAGATAAGATCTTTATCAAGATAATGCTGCCGATAAAAGCGGCTTTAAATAGTCCGTGATGGACAATGCGTATTACTAACATTTACGTATCGGACAACAAAGGTATAGAATTAACAGCAGCCAGGTTGTCCACAGAGTACACAATGGAAGCTCGTGAAACAATACTGTCCCCCGTTTGATATATCTCCGCAACCCCTTGCAGGAATGAATAGTCTTTCAGACGACCAAAGCAGGAAAGATGGCATGAAACAGACGCCTTTTATGTTGCAGACATTCAGACACGGCTTCCCGCATCAGCCGACAGCGTTGGCATTCGACCCAGTTCAAAGGCTCCTAGCCATTGGCACTAAGTCAGGATCCCTCAGGATGTATCCTTTGACGTTATCGCTGATACGATAGCATACGTAATTAAGCATACATATCTCTTTCTTTTCCTCGACATTATCTTCTTTTTTCTTCTCTCGGTCATATTAATTCAGAAGCGAGATTACTGAAAATTCTATGCTGTCGGGAACAAAAACTATGATTAACCATATTCGTTGACGCGGCTTTACGTTGTCTAAAAAAAAAATTCGGTGATCGACGGGTTACTACAATTTTAGCGAATTAATTACACGGTCCTGTCGGCTTGTGGTTCTTCGACCGTGTGTTTTTCACGTCAGTGGTTTCATCGATCTATCATGGCTAAAGTGTAGCGATAGATGCTCATCGCAGTTCGATGGGCGTACTAACTACCGCAATAAACGCGATCACCATAAGTGGAAAAATTCTAACAACCGCGCAACTACACAATTCCGATATAAGTAAAATTTCTATGTTTTATACTGTAAAAAATTTACCTCTTTCTTTCGATATAACAGTCGGTAAATTGACAAAGGTTTCAATCATCAACGTAGATTTTTTCTATGTCGCGAAAATATTTCATTCGATATTTCTAGTCTTATAATATTTCGTACATTAATAAGGTACTATAACGAGGGAATATTTACGTTTTACTAAATTGTACTACTTTATAACATATTATGTACTGGAGAGTTATTATTACCGTAGCTCTTGTACGCGGCGCGTCTTAAAAGTAAGAGTCGATCGGACTCTTAAGAAAGGATAAAGTAATAGGAGAAACTTTTATTACTGGTACATCATTTGCTTGTTCCCCGGTGTTTAGAAACAATAATGACTATGTGGAAAAATAAAGTGGGTACATACAAATTTTGTACCAGTTATAAAAGTTTTTTCTCTTATTTTGCCTTTCCTAATGTCCGGCTCGCCCTTAATTTTAAGACGCTTCTCGTAGTTGATACGGAGTCTGTATTTTTCTAAATATATTTGATACCTCGGGAAAACAGTTTGGGTAGACCGGGTGTAGACGCGCACGTAAAGCACGAAGGATGTAGCGCTGTGATACAACTGCAGTTTCTGATCAACGAGGGTGCATTGGTATCGGCAACAGCAGATGACACTTTACATTTATGGAACTTTCGTCAGAAGATACCGCAGGTGGTGCAGAGTCTCAAGTTTCAAAGAGACAGGTCAGTCATTACTAATGATTTCTTCTTAATCTTTATATTTCGAATCTTATTCTATCTTTTTATACACTTAAATCCGAACTTTTTGATTGTGATATCGTCAATTTGTTTCAAACAAATGTTGAATCAACTTGTCTTCTTTTACAGAATCACTTGCATTCATCTGCCGCTTCAAAGTAAATGGTTGTACGTCGGAACAGAACGAGGAAATATCCACATACTGCACATTGAAACATTTGTCTTATCCGGATATGTCATTAATTGGAACAAGGCTATTGAAGTGTAAGTCTATGAATTCTTATTAATTATATTCAAGTATGTATAATTAATATGTGTGAAGTAGCAGATACACTTATCGCGTATCAGTGTATCTGTAAAAAAAAAGACGATGCGATTAAAACAAATTATATTTACATTTGATAACACATTATATTGCTGATAAACGTATGTGAAAAATGAATATTCTATGTGCTAATATTTCTCCAATATTTCCAATTTCATTAACGGTGAGTATATAAATATGATTAAGATATTTCTAAGCGTCAAGGTAAGTAATTGGAAGTGGATGACTACTAAGGTTGAATGTAATTGGTTTCGACGTCAAAAGGATTTTCATCAAAATATGGAGTACAGTCGCTAGTAAAAATATCAGAAACACCTGCTCAGAATTTGTAACGCTTGATTAATTAAGTTTTAGTGAAATTTTCTACAAGTTGAAACAATTAAAGAGCTTCACCGCAAGAAGGGCATATTATAAAAAATTTATTTAAAAAATCTAAAATATCGGATTTTGATTTTTTACTACGAGAAACGTACTTGGTAAATATATCACAAGTACATTTGCGTACAAGTGTTATTATTTTTTGACGAATTCAAATAACATTTCTCGTTGAGAAATCTGTACATCTGAACGATGGATAAGGAATTACGCACAGTGGCTTGGGAATGTTTAAGATTAAAAGAAGTATTTATCACAATTGATTGTACTTCTTACAAAATGTTTGTGTAACAGGTTGCTCTTCGTTTCGAATTCTTTTTAAAAATATATTCGAAAAGATGAGTGAAGTACACTTTCAGATCCCGTTTCCACTAATTCCTACAATTTCTGTTATCCTAAAATGTTATTGTCACGATCTTAATGTTGACGAAGTGTGTTACTTCTTCTATATTCAGTTTATCGATATCATTGAATAAATGTAGTGTAATAAATAAGTGTGTTAAAATACAGACATAAAGCTATAACGGAACATAGTAATTAAAAGTTTGCACAGGCGTTTTATACATGCTTTGCAATAACACACGAATAATAATTTTCACAGACATGTGTGTGTATATACATATATATGTATATATATATGTATTTTTCAGATCTAGAAAGACCCATCCTGGTGCTGTAGTACACTTGAGTGATAATCCTTTAGATTTGAGCAAGGTACGCGCGTCTTTTAGTATGTTTTTTTCATTATTACTCCATCCCTGTCATAATTTCACGATAGACGTTGTACAATTATATCGTGACATATATAAGAGAGACGTGTTACGTGACATTGACGTTTATTCGATATTTTTATACTAACTTGTATATTATTTGTTTACATTCAAGCAAATAAATGCAAGTGTGTGCTTGCATGTTATACGTGTGCATGCATGCATGCTATCACTGTTACATATAAAAGTGAATCTCGATTACTTCCATTTAACTCAAAAAAGACAAAGAAGAAAGGGGAAGGGGAAGAAATCTGTTCTTTATTAATGAACATATCCAATCATAATTGACATCATGAACCAATAAAAACGGATTTAAACTGGTTCCATGGGTTGATTATGATACGAATGAAAGTCATGCCGCGAACATAATCACTCATCTTTTTACACATTTTATATCTTTTAATTCAATGTTTGTATAACAAAATTTCTATTACAGAGAAAGAGAGAGGGGGGGGGAGAGAGAGAGAGAGAGAGAGAGAGAGAGAGAGAGAGAGAGAGAGAGCGCCTTTATATAAATATATCTTATATATACTCACTGACTGTGTGAAATCATGAATGTATGACGAGCATTTGAACGCACGGGATGCAACTGCGTTGCAACCCCTCTTTGTTTTTGGTGTTGATATTGTAAATTTGATTTACAATGTATCACGCACATATCATACGAATTATTAAATAATTACTAATCTTATACTTTTAATTTCAATAAATGATAATTTTTAGTTGCATCATGATTTTTTACAGTTCACATTGTGTCGACTACAAATTAACCCTTTGCACTCGAGGGCTCCGGAGCGGAGCCATTTAAAATTTGTCTTCAAACTCAAATGCAAATAGCAAGAGCGGAATATCCTATACACAATAGTTTTTACGATTTGTCTTTGTCTTTATGTTATGAACTGAAAGTTATTTGCATTGACTCCATAGCGGAACCCTCGAGTTTGAAGACAAATTTTAAATGGCTCCGCTCCGGAGCCCTCGAGCGCAAAGGGTTAAATGTGCAATATAATCTGCCACTCTCCTTCTAATTTCGTCTCCAACTACAAACGTTTTTGTCTACGTGATTCGTTCTTCCTCAACTGAGCCGATAATCCTCACACATATCACACAATTATACTATCTCCCGATTTTATTTGTACTCTCCTCATAAATATTGTAAAAAGCATTGATATTGTCATTCTTTACATTTAATCTCTTTATGTATACATTAAATGCATTATTGCGATGCCCACATGTTTCTCGTTTCAAGCAATGTATAAATTTTTAACAACACATTTCATATGTGTGGATATGTTTTGTTTTCAGATGCTCATAGGATACGAGACTGGGCAAATTGTTTTTTGGGATTTAAAGACAAAGAATGCTGACTATAGGTGTCAAACTGACGAGCCGTTGAAATCGATAACATGGCATCACGAAGGTAAACAATTTATGTGTTGCCACACGGATGGTTCCCTTTCAACTTGGACTGTTCGACAATTAAAACCAACGAATGTGACATTCCCACATGGTAAGATTCAAATAACGATATAATTCTGCTATTTGTTTCATTATAATTTACAAGAATAACATATCAATGATCATTATATAGCAAAATCCACCAAGGATGGAGAACCCGAATCTTGCAAACCAATTCAAAAAGTGGAATGGAAATTATCGAGAGCAGGGTAAAATATATTTATATTATTTCTTTTTATATGTATATATGTTTATCATACATATATACAGTTATTAACCTCGAAGTAATATACAAGTGAAATGTAAATTTTTAATAGGGAAGCGTATATAATATTTTCCGGTGGGTTGGCATGTGATACTACTGGGAGAATACCGAGCATTACAGTGATACATGGAAAAACTACCACGGTACTCGAAATGGAACATAATGTTATAGACTTTGTAACGCTGTGTGATAGTCCATGGGCTAGTGGTACAGTAAAACACGCTCTTTAACGATTATTGTTGCATAATGATTATCGCATATAATTTTCATAAGTTTATTATTTCTTATGTCACTATGATTTTTCAGATTTTCAAGATCCTTACGCTGTTGTTGTTCTACTACAAAATGACTTGGTTGTGATAGATCTATTAACTCCCGGGTTCCCTTGTTTCGAGAATCCATATCCCATGGATATTCACGAATCTCCTGTGACGTGTTGTGCATATTTTGCGGATTGTCCTTCGGATTTGGTACCTGCATTTTATTCAGTTGGGTCCAAGTCCCAAAAGAAAACCGGCTTCAGCGAGAAAGAGTGGCCTGTTTCCGGCGGGGAGTGGAGCTCTAGTTCTAGTAGTTATAACGAGATTATCCTCACTGGGTAATATTATCATAGATATATATTAAATGAGTATATACATAAATAGATTATATATATCGTATGAGTAAAGAGAAATAGATCACAGATATATCTTCATATTAACAAATGATAAATTTATTCTTTTCATTGTGCGATTATCCATCATGATTATATACATAGTTTCATCAAAATTACACATTCAAAATTAAATATGTGTTCTTGTCTATTAGGCGATGATTGATACTGATCTCAAACTTCTATATCTATATGTGTTGATCACAGGCATGCCGATGGCAGTATAAAGTTTTGGGACGCTTCAGCGGGAACGCTACAAGTCCTTTATAAGCTAAAAACAGCAAAACTTTTTGAAAAGAGCAGAACACGTAGTATAGATTCCGAGGAAGATCCTTTAGCAATTCAACTTATCTTTCTTTGTCCTGAAAGTCGGAAATTAGCTATTGCGGGAAGCGGTAAACACGTTGTGTTGTTTAAGTTTAAGAAGGTTGAAAGTATGTCCGAAGTAGTGGTAAGTTATCTACTTACTAATGTATTATTCTTTATTCCGTTATACTATTATTTACTAATATATTTTGATCGCGCAACAAAATTATGTGAACTACCTCAATAACCTTCTTGCGATATTCTCTTCATATTGGAACTAAATACTTCGTTAAATTTTATTTATTTAAACTTATCATATTCACTTTGCGCACCGATTTTATTATTATTTTTTTCCCAATATTGCAGACTTTGGAGATATGTTTAACGGCGGATCCAGGGAAAGAAGACTCACCGGATCATGAATCACCAGCAACTGGAAACACCATGGGAAATGTGGAGTCGAAGAATACAGATTATAATCATCCGCTCAAAATCAAGACGGGCTTGCAGAAGAGAGCTGCTGGTTTTCAAGCAACATTAATTTGCTTGACAACGGCACCCAGTGGAGAGCAACCTGAGAGTATAACATCGCTTAGTTTAAATTCTTCGTACGGCTTGTAAGTGTACAACACAATTCATGGATATACATATATACATAAAAATTTCATGAATGAAGAAAATTATTATTTAACAATTATTACATGTCTTAAGGAGTAACAGTCCGCGGGTATTTTAATGTTTAGATTGGCCTATGGAAACGAGTCCGGTTTAGTGATAGTGGATATCGTGCAGAAGATTTCTTTGATCGTATTAAACACTAGTGATCTTGGAGGTGGCGCTGATCCTTATCAACGTGTCTTACGTAGCCCCAAACGGCAGGATGAGTCCAAACGGGAAAATGAAGACAAGGCAAGAAGCCCAAGTACCGATCAGGTAAAATATACTTCTTTTGTCACTAGAACCATGTATATTTTGAGTTCCTCAAATTTCTATTCCTTCACTTCGTCCAGGGAAACCTCTTGAAATCTTCACATCTTAGCGTCTTGCATTTTGCTTTTTCCAAATACCGACATTATTCTTCATTGCATGATTATAAAAGTATCTATATAATTTAATAGCTACGGTTATGTGAGAAAGTCACGTTTATGCAAAGGATATCATGGTTTAAAATTTTATTAATTTAATGAAGCGTTCTGTTTTCCCAATTTTACAAATATGAAGTTCTGACCAAACAATACACTATTTAAGAAAAAAAATCATAATTACCAGTATACAATATATGAGCGCATATGGATGAGTGCGCGTGTATAAAACCTTAAATAAAACTAATGATCTCTCAATCGAAAGTATTTTAATATATGCGGTATTTTAATGATTTATTTGAATGTAGTATCTTAATATATGCGGTATTTGAATTCTAACAGGGGGAATCGTTACCGTAATATTTAATAATTAATCAGAAACATTTCAAGAGTGACCAGTATAATGATTAATATGATAATCTACAAACGTAATTTGCCCAATTTTACTAACATTAGCGTGCAACTGGCTTGCAACTATAAACATTATTTCGGGATATGATTAGATATTATCAAATTCACACAATACTTTTCAGCATGAAAAGTTTAAATTATATAATTTAGCTTGTTATAGTTTAATTATTCATTTTTTTACTATTACGCCAATATGCATAAAATGTTTTTTCTAAATAGTTAAAAAATGCTGCTTATTAAATTATTTACATAGTTCGCAATCAAATTTGGATAGTACGTATTTACATAGTTCGCAATCAAATTTGGATAGTACGAATGTATTATTCGCAATAAGATAGTCAAGTTACATATGCATTAAAAATACAGTTGTGTATGAAATATTAAATACTTATTGCATTATGTATTTATATTATTTATATTTCAGTATCATTTGTGTACATATCAGAAAAGAATTAGAATATAGTTATATCTTAGGCAAAATAATCCGTATTCCTAGGTTTTCTTATTAAGGAGAGTAATGTTCCGTTTAACAAATGTATTCAACGTTATTTTCTTATTTGTCAAGTTGGATGAAAAACGCGATTAAATAAATTTATTATAAAACATTTTAATTGCAAAGAATTATTTTATCGGGAACTATCGGTCAAACTTGTCATTTTCCATGTGCTGCAAATCTTTAT